GTCCCATGCAATTTATAGGTCCACTCTTCTACAACAGACCACACTACTAAGACAGAGAGTCAAAGCAGCTACCTAATACCTAGAAACAAACACAGGGAGGCTGCCAAACTGAGGAGACAAAGAAATATGGCCCAAATGAAAGAACAAAATAAAACTCTAGAAAAAGAGTTAAATGAAACAGAGATAACCAACCTATCAGACGCAGAGTTCAAAACACTGGTTATCAGGATGTTCAAAGAATGCACTAAGTATGGCAACAATATAAAAAAGACCCAGGCAGAAATAAAGGTTATATTAAGTGAAATAGAGAAAAATCTATAGGGAACCCACAGTTGAGGGGATGAATTGAGTATCAAATTAAGAAGCCTCTGGAACACCTCCAAATGTGCCAACATGCGAATGATAGGGATGCCAGAAGAAGAGGAAGAGCAAGAAGTTGAAAACTTATTTGAAAAAATAATGGAAGAAAAATTCCCTAATTTGGCAAAGGAAACAGACATACAAGTAAGTCCAGGATGCACAGAGAGTCCCAAACAAGTTGGACCCAAAAGAAACCACAAGCAAGACATGTCTTCATTACAATGTCAAAGGTTAAAGATAAAGACAGAATCTTAAAAGCAGCAAGAGAAAAGCTGAGAGTTACCTACAAAGGAGTTCCCATAAGACTGTTAGCTGATTTCTCAAAAGAAACTTTGCAGACAAGAAGGGATTGGCAAGAAGTCTTCAAAGTGATGAAAAGCAAAGACCTACAACCTAGATTATTGTACCCAGCAAAGCAGACATTTAGAACAGAAGGGCAGACAAAGTGCTTCCCAGACAAGATAAAGCTAAAGGAGTTTATCATTACCAAGCCATTATTATATGAAATATCAAAGGGACTTATTTAAGAAAAATAAGAAGATCAAACTATGCACATTAAAATAACAACAAATCCACAACTATCAACAACTAACAACTGAATGTAAAAAACTAACCAAGCAAACAAGCAGAACAGCTGGAACAGAATCACAGAAATGGAGATCACTTGGAAGGTTATCAGCTGGGAGGGGGACAGGGGAGAATAGGGGAAAAGTTGCAGGGATTCAGAAGCACAAATTGGTAGGCACAAAACATACAGGGGGATGTTAAGAACAGTATAGGAAATGCGAAGACAAAGAACTTATATATATGACCCATGGACCTAACTAAGGGTGGGGAACTGAGGGAGGAAATGGGGGTACCAGGTGGAGGGGGACAATGGGGGAAAAATTGGGACAACTGTAATTGCATAATCGGTAAGATATATTTTAAAAATACACCATTAACTCTGATCAAAGTAAGAGAAAAAGCAAATATTAAAAATAATAAGTGAGACAATTATAGAAGCAAGCTAGTTTATACACAAATTTATGCCATCAAACTTTATAAATGAAATGGACAATTGTCTAGGAAAGTGTAAGTTACCAAAATGTAGAAAAAAAGAAATAGCAAACTTGAATGGACCAATAAATATAAACAATTTGATCGCTAGTCAAAATCAACTACTCCATAAAAAAGAAATAAAGGACTTATAGCCAAGATGGAGGTGTAGGTGGACACACTGTGCTTTCTTCCACAACCAAAATTAACGACAACAAAAATTTAGAAACAAAAAAAAAGCACCCAGAAATGATAGAATTGAACTGTACGGAAGTCAGACAACCATTTATCCAAACTGGTAAGAGGGATGGAGTTGGCCACCAGTGGAGAGGGGTTGCAGTAGGAAAAGGCAGTGCCTAGCAGACCTGGGTGCATAGGTGGCAGCTAGCAGACTCCGGACATGGGGTGGCAATGGGCAGACCCAGTGAGGCACGCAAGGCAGTTGGCTGACCATGATCACACATTCGTGCACAGATAAACCTGGCAAAAACGGGCAGCAAGACAGACGGCGCAACCCAAGGTCCCAGCACCGAGAAATAAAGCCTAAAAGCATTGACTGAAAACACTTGTGGGGGTTGAGGTGCTGGGAGACTCCCAGCCTCACAGGAGAGTTCAATGGAGGCACCCACAGGGTCCTAGAACGTACATAAGCCCACCCACCTGGGGACCAGCACCAGAAGGGCCCAATTTGCTTGTGGGAAGGAGTGGAAGGGACTGAAATCCTAGAGAGAGAGCAGAGCAAGTGCCATTGTTCCCTCTCTGACCCCGCCCCCACATACAGCGTCACAACTCAGAGACTGGGTTGCCCCACCCAGGTGAACACCTAAGGCCCCACCCCTCACACGTAAGTGGTAGGACCTGACCAAAAAAAAAAGAAAAGAAAAGGAAAAGAAAAAGAAAAAATGGCTCAAACAGAACAACACATCAAAGCCCCAGAGCCAATATTTTTAAGTGACTAAGAGATAGCCAACCTTTCAGATGCACAGTTCAAAACACTGGTGATCAGGATGCTCACAGAACTGATTGATTTTGGTAAAAAATTAGATGAAAAAATGAAGACTACACTAAGTGAAATGAAGGAAAATGCACAGGAAACCAATAGTGATGGAAAGAAAACTCGGACTAAAATCAATTGAGTGGACCAGAAGGAAGAAAGAAAGAAAGAAACAAACAAACAGAAAAGAATGAAGAAACAAGAATTCAAAAACATGAGGAGAGGTTTAGGAACCTCCAGGACATCTTTAAACGTTCCAACATCCCAAATATAGGGGTACCAGAAGGGGAAGAGGAAAAGTAACAAGTGGAAAACTTATTTGAACAAATAATAAAGGAGAACTTCCCCATTCTGGCAAAGGAAATAGACTTCCAGGAAATCCAGGAAGCTCAGAGAGTCCCAAAGAAGTTGGACCCAAGGAGGAACACACCAAGGCACATCCTAATTACATTACCCAAGATTAAAATGAAGGAGAGAATTCTAGAAGGAGCAAGAGATAAGGGGACAGTCACCTACAAAGGAGTGCCCATCAGACTGTCAGATGATTTCTCAAAAGAGGCCTCACAGGCAAGAAGGGGCTGGAAAGAAGTATTCCAAGTCATGAAATCTAAAGACCTACATCCAAGATTGCTCTATCCAGCAAAGTTTTCATTTAGAATGGAAGGGCAGATAAAGTGCTTCTCAGATAAGGTCAAGTTCAAGGAGTTCATCATCACCACGTCCTTATTATATAAAATGTTAAAGGGACTTATCCAAGAAAAAGAAGAAAAAATACTAACAGTAAAAAGACAGCAAACTCACAGTTATTTACAACCACATCTAAAAGAAAAGCAAACTAAGCAAACAAGTAGAACAGGAACAGAACCATAGAAATGGAGATCACATGGAGGGTTAGCAACAGGGGAGTGGGAGGAGGAGAGAGGGGGGAAAGGCACAGAGAATAAGTAGCATAGATGGTAGGTAGAAAATAGATAGGGGGAGGGCAAGAATAGTATGGGAAATGTAGAAGCTAAAGAACTTATGACACAGGTCCATGAACTAAAGGGGGGAAAGGTGGGTGGGAGGGGGTGTGCAGGGTGGAGGGGAATGAAGGGGGGAAATGGGACAACTGTAATAGCATAATCAATAAAATATATTAAAGGAATAAAGATGTTTTCACAGACTTCCCCCTAATATTCCCTTATGGAAAATTTCAAATATACACAAATTAATATAAAAAGAATTGTGCTAAAATACCCATATACCCTAGATTCTTAAATTAACATTTTTCTACATTAGCTCTCACACAACTATCTACCTATCCATCCATTCTTCTTTCTATACATCGGTCCTTTTATATCTTTTATTGGATCCTGTGGGAGGAAATAAAGGAAAATAAACTGTGCATGACAGGATTTCAGAGCAACAGACTCATGATCTTTTCCATATCAACTTAACATTTTAACTGTTTTTCTCAAAATAAAACTGAAGTTGTGGTACATGGAAAACAGGAATAAATAGAAAAGGAGGAATTAAGGAAGAAGGTTTGGGCCTTCTTTCCTCTTTCTTTCCTCTTTGTGGACATGATCTTGTGAGGTGGATTCCGATTCCTTTCCAAACAATTTCTTTATAGTATCAGCCAGTTCCCGCTCTCCTTGCCAAAAAAGAGAATTGAACTGGCTTTTTAAAGATAGCTGTTATAAAATGAATATATTTTTACAAATGCATGTAATTCAGTTGGGAAATGTTTCCTATGACCTTGATTTATTAGAAAGAAAACATTTACTAATTACAAGAACAATTTATCTTCCAAAAAACAGGTTCTCTACTGTAAGAAATTTAAATCTGTGACATCCTAAAGAAAAGCAATTTCATTGATTTTCTTTGTATATAATATGACATGCCAGCAAAGTTGATGGATTGTAATACTTTTGAATGAAAAGATTACTATCAAAGAATGACAGCATTTAGAGGTAAGGTTAATGTTTATAAAACAGGATATCATAGTATTTATTCCTTTATTTTTTTTGTATTTGTTCCTCTATTGATTATAAATGCTATTTCTCCCTTAGTGTCCCTTTGTTATTCTCTGCACTGACCATGACCTTGTTTCACCATATGAACGAATGCATTCAAAATCTGAGAGGAAGGTAAAGCTCTTTAAACCATTCTTTTAAAAAACAATGGGCATGACGATGGACTGATGTCCCCAGCTAGCCCGCATCATAACTTCACCTTTCGACCTTCATGTCAATTCTTCAAGAACACAATATCCTTTACCTTTGTGAGAAGGCATACTGTTTCCAGGAAATCTGCCCTTTTGCAGGGGTGTTCTTGCAGCCCGTGGGCCGCAAGCAGTCCAGGATGGCTGTGAATGCGGCCTGACACAAAATTGTAAATTTACTTAAAACATTATGAGATCTCTTGGTGATTACGTGCCAGAATGTGTTTAATGTGCAGCCCAGAACAACTCTTCTTCTTCCAGTGTGGCCCAGATGACGCCAAAGAATTAGATACTCCCGTTTTAAAGCATTCTTCTAATGTCATTGGTACTTGCATTAATTCGTATGTCAAACTATTTTAGATTCTATCGTGGTTGCCATCACATGTTGCACTGAAGGTGACTTGCCTTGCTGGCGGTTTCCAGTAGAAACTGGAACGTGTTCTGCACAGCCTGACATGTTTCCAGCTCCGTCCGGCTGAAGGCTATTAAATAATCCTTCAAATGATCATACACATTTCCATCAAGAGCCTGTAAAAAAGGAATACACACAAACAAAAAAATTATGATAAAGCTTTGATACATGTCTACTGTGTACAAGGTAAGTTCAGTTTAAAACTTATCGACAGTAAATTAACAAAAGATACTGATTATCATATACGAGTAAATATAAACAGCAAACAATCACTTGGGAGAATGTTGATGCTCTCTAGTAAGTAGGGACAACAGAAGGTAAAATCCAATATTAGTAAAGCTGTGGGAGAAGGACAAACCTTGGGACACAATGTGCTTGGGTCCTGACCTCTGTTCATCTGCTATTAGCTGTGTCACCTTCTGTTGTCACTTGAGGGGGAACAAGTGTGGGAGTCAAATGAAATAATGGAGGTGAAAGGACCCAGGCACAGTGCCTGGGACAACACAGACTCTCAGTACACATTCATCACGTCCACTTCTCCTTGTCTATTACTGGTAGGATTATAAATTAGCATATTCTCACTATATAGCAGTCAGAGAAAAATACAAGTGAAATAGTAAAAAGAAAAAAAGATATGTGACTAAATTCCTGTTTGGGGGAAGAAAAACCTGTGTAATATGTATGAACAGTTTAAAACTATTATTTGTTTAAGCATAGAAAAATACTTTAAAACTGAAAAAAAAAAGGGAACAGAAAACTACCAAACATGTGAGAAATGATTAAGCTAGGAGACATCTAATGACTAAAATATATATAGCCACCAAATGTAACACATCACATAAACAAAAGCAAAGACAAAAATCACATAATCATATTAATAGATGTGGAAAAAGCATTTGATAAGGTACAGCACCCATTTATGATAAAAACACTCAGCAAAGTGGGAATAGATGGAGCATTCCTCAACATAATAAAGGTCATATATAAGAGACCTACAGCAAACATCACACTCAATGGTCAAAAACTAAAATCTTTTCCACTAAGATCAGGAACAAGACCAGGTTGTCCACTTTCACCCTTTCTATTCGATATAGTATTGGAAGTTTTAGCCACAGCAATCAGACAAGAAAAAGAAATAAAAGGCATCCAAACTGGAAAGGAGGAAACAAAACTGTCACTGTTTGCAGATGACAAGATAGTGTACATGGAAAATTCTATAGATTCCACCCAAAAACTGCTCAACCTAATACATGAATTTGGCAAAAAAGTGGGATACAAAGTCAATATCCAGAAATCAAAGGCATTTTTGTATACCAAACAATGAAACAGCAGAAGCAGAAATCAAGAAAAAAAATCCCATTTGATATAGCAAAAAGAAAAATAAAATACCTAGGAATAAACCTAACCAAAGAGGTAAATGGCCTGTATTCAGAAAACTACACAACAGTGAAGAAAGAAATCAAGGAAGACACAAACAAATGGAAACATATACCGTGTTCATGGATCAGAAGAATTAATATCAACATGTCCATACTACCCAAAGCGATTTACAGATTCAACACAATACCTATTAAAGTACCAATGGCATATTTCATAGACATAGAACAAACACTTCAAAAATTTATATGGAACTATAACAACCCTGAATAGCTGCTGCAATTTGAGAAGAAGAGCAAAGTAGGATGGATCACAATACCTGATACCAAACTGTATTACAAGGTCACTGTAATCAAAACAGCCTGATACTGACATAAAAATATACCTATAAAAATAGGCACATGGACCAATGGAACAGAACAGAGAGCCCAGAAATAAACCCAAGTCTCTACGGGCAATTAATATTTGACAAAGCGGGCACTAACTTAAAGTGAAGTAAAAATAGCCTCTTCAACAAATGGTGTTGGGAGAACTGACAGCTACATGCAGAAAAATGAAACTCGATCACCAGCTTACACCATACACAAAAATAAATTCAAGGTGGATAAAAGATTTAAATATAAGCCATGACACCATTAAAGTCCTAGAGGAGAACATAGGCAGGAAAATCTTAGATATTCCACACAGCAATATTTTCACTGATTTGTCCCCTAGAGCAAGGGACATAAAGGAAAGAATAAACAAATGAGATCTCATCAAAATAAAAAGCTTCTGCATGGCTAAATGAAACAGTATTAAAATAAAAAGAGAACCAACCATATAGGAAAACATATTTGCCAGTGATACCTCAGAGCCCTAAGGGTTTAATCTCCAAAATATATAAAGAAGTTACAAGACTCCACTCTAAGAAGACAAGCAACCCAATTAAAAAAATGGGCAAAGGACTTGAACAGACACTTCTCCAAGGAGGACATACAGAAGATCCAGAGACACATGAAAAGATGCTCAATATCACTAGCTATCAGAGAGATGCAAATTAAAACCACAATGAGATACCACTTCACACTGGTCAGAATGGCCATCATAAACAAAGCAACAAACAACAAGTGTTGGAGAGGTTTTGGAGAAAAGGGAACCCTAGTTCACTGTTAGTGGTACTGCAGACTGGTACAACCACTATGGAAAACAGTATGGAATTTTCTCAGAAAACTAAAAATGGATCTGCCTTTTGACCCAGCAATTCCACTGCTAGAATTATACCCAAAAGAACCTATGCACCCCAATGTTCATAGCAGCACAATTTACAATAGCGAAGTGCTGTAAGCAACCTAGGTGCCCATCAGTAAATGAGTGGATCAAAAAATTATGGTACATATACACAATGGAATTCTATGCAGCAGAAAGAAAGAAGGAGCTCCTAACCTTTGTGACAGCATGGATGGAACCGGAAAGTATGCTAAGCAAAATAAGCCAGGCAATGAAGGACAAATACCATATGATCTCACCATTAACAAGAACCTAAACAACAAAACAAGCAAACGAGCAAAATATAACCCAAGACACTGAAATAGAGAACAGGCTGACTGGCCACAGGGGAGAGGGGAGGAAATTTCAGGGGAAAAGAGGAAGGGTTTATAGGAACAAGTATAAAGGACACATGGACAAAAACTAGGAGGGATGGAAATGGGAGGGAGGTGGGGAGAGCTTGGTGGGTGGGCTGGGATGGGAGTAAAAGACAGAAAACTGTACTTAAATAACAATTAAAATAAAATTAAAAAAATAAAGATAAAAGAAATTAAAAAATAAAATAAAATATATACAGTCACCAAAAAAACCCCCCAAACTGTGGAGCTATATAGATGGAGAGGTATGTGTCAAATAATTTCAGGTTTGAAAAAAAGGAACAAATAGAATACATACACACTAGCAACAATTTTGGGAAAAACATATCAATAAAAAAGGTTCAGGAGTCTTGCCAGTCAACGGAAGTTTTCTCAAACACTGAGGTAAAATTCACATGTTGTAAAAGTCACCACTTAAACTATTTTAAGTAGTTGAATCCAGTGGTTTTTAGGAGCCACAATGTTGTCCAACCATCACTGCCAGCTCATTTCAATAGATTTCATCACCCCCAAAAGAACTCCCATTCTTCCTTCCCCAAGTCTCTAGCAACCACTAATCTACTTTCTATCTCTACAGATTTGCCTGTTCTGGACATTTCATATAAATGGAATCGTACAATATGCGGACTTTTATGGCTGCATCTGTCACTTAGCATGTCTTCAAGGTGCATCAACGTAGTAGTAATTCTTTTTGTGGCTGAGTAATACTCCACTGTATGGATACACCATATTTTATTTACTCATTCATTCGCTGCTGGACATTTGGGTTGTTTCCACTTTTTGGCTATTATGGGTAATGGTGCTGTGAACATTTGTGTACAAGTTTCTGCTTAAACATCTGTTTCCAATTTTCTTGCGTGTATGCCTGGTAGTGAAATTGCTGGGTCCCACAGTAACTCTAACTATTTCAGGAACTGCGAAACTGTCTTCTAGTGTGGCTGTAGCACTTGAGATCCCCACCGCAGTGTACGAAAGTCCCAGATTCTCTACATCCTTATCAATACTTGTTATTTTGTTGGTTAAAATTACGTCATCCTAGCGGCATCCCATGTGCTTTTAATTGCATTTCTCTAATAACGAATGACACTGGACATCTTTTCATGGGCTTATTGGCCACTCGTGTATCATTTTTGGAGAAATGTCCATTCAAATCGTTTACTCGTTTTTTAAAAATTTTATTGTTCTTTTTTGTTTGCTTGTTTTTGTCTTTTTACTATATATGAGAATTTCCCCACATAATGAACTATTCTTTCAAAGACTTTATTTATTTTTTCAGAGAGAAGGGAAGGAAGGGAATGAGAGAGAGAAACATCAATGTGAGAGAGATACATTGACCTGTTGCCTCTTACACACCCCCAAAGGGGGACCTGGCCCCATCGGGACCAGACATGTGCACTGACTAGGAATAGAACCAGTGGCCCTTGGGCTTGCAGGCTGGTGCTCAATCCACTGAACCACACTAGCCAGGGAAGTCCTTTACTAATTTTTAAATTGGGTTGTTTGACTTTTTTTGTTGATGAATTGTAGAAGTCCTTTACATATTTGAATACTATTTATGTATTTGGATACATGTATTTTATCAGATACATGACTTGCTAATATATTCTCCCATTTGGTGACCCATCTTTTCACTTTCTCAATAGTCCTCTAACATGCAAAAGTTTTTTAATTTTGATTTAAATTTTGAAGTCTAAATCAGCTATTTTAATTTTGTTACTGTGTCTTAGTGTCAGATCTAAGAATCCTCAATGGATGTGTTATAGTAAATAAATTCTTTATATATCTTGTGTTTGACTATTCCATTAAACTTTTACTATAAAATAGATTTTTAAAAAATACACAAATTCTGGTCCCTGGTGTGGCAGCTCAGTTTGTTAAGAGCAATGAACCTATCTATCTATACACCAAGGTTGCAGGTTCAAGCTCCAGCCAGGGCACACACAAAAATCAATCAATGAATGCATAAATAAGTGGAACAACAAATTGACATTTTTTTCCCTTTCTCTAAAATCAATCAATAAAAAATGAAAAATTTACAAATTCTGTTCCCAAAGCCCTGAGTAATAAAGTAGGTTCTATACTGCTTACACCACTAGATGGCACCATCAAGCACTTTA